CATCACTGCACCACACACAGGAGCTCCCCTCCCCAATTGATGCACCACACATGCACACAATCACCCCTACTACTGCACTACACAGGTGCCACCTCCACCCCACCCCCGCCACTGCATCACTCACATGCCTGAAAGTTGTCCCCCATGGCTTCACTGTATACACAGGCAACCCAGCCTAACCCTCAGCTCCCCAGCTGTGGGCTCCCCCACTGCACCACATGCCATGGGTGCCCTGGGCCACAGGCAGCCCCAGTACCATGGGCTGAACCACTCTGACCCCTGGGGTGAGGGCAGGAAGTGGAAACTGAAGAAGGGAGGAGTACCTTGGAGCTCCCAACTGCTGCTGCAACTAGAGTGATGAGAGGAGAAGTGACTGGGTGGGAACCCAGAAGCTGAGCATGGCCATCAGTTGGACTGCCCTGATGTAAACTGTTGTTGGGTTCAGAAAAAACTTTCCTTACTCCAAGAAAATAAAAGTATTTCAAGCACCTTGTTGTGTGGCTTCCCATGTCTTCCAAAAACAGAGAGAGACCCCTAGTTCAGGACCAAAAAATCTGTCCTTACTGCCCACCCCCAGGGAAGCCTAGAGACTCCTATGACTGACTTACTACCTCTTCAATACAAAGACCTCCCTTTCTCCCTTAAACTCCCTCTTTTCACCATTAGGAGATGACTGCACCAGAAATTCAAGAACAAACACCTTAACATGATTAATCAAAATCTCCTTTTTTTCTAGTTGATTTTGATAACAGACACTCTTAAGATTCTGGACCATTAATGATTCAAACTCTTAGGGAAGAAGAGTCCTCTTAATTTAGTATAAAATTTTACAAGAAAATCTAATAGCTGCCACACTTTTTATTTTATTCAGTTGCATGGTAACAATGGGCATCTTTACATGTGCTCTGCCAGGGAGGGGGCATTTTAATTAGAACGGCCTCTCAGAGAAACTACTCTCAGAAATCTACTCTCAGAGCCACTTTAATTAAAGCACCTGCAGCATTTAAAATTAACAAATTTGTTGTCTTTAAAAGGTAGTCATTGTTGTCCTAATGATTTCTTTCACTTGAAAGAATTATTGAGCTAAGAGATGCATCACTTTTACATATACCTCACTGCTATTTAATAGACACATGGTTTATTTCATAGAGAAACTAAATGTTTATTTGTTATTGAAAACTGCTAAAGAATCAAGAAATATGCCAATTACAATAAATATGCAGGCTGTGACATTTTTAGTATTGAGTAATTGCTCTGGAGGGAAAGATAAGACATTATAATGAGTTTATATATTTAAAAGTGAAATGTCATTTAACTAAATTTTCTCTGAAAACTTAGTAACAAAGGGAGAGAATTGTTACTTACCTTACAATAACTGTACTTCAAGATGTTGAGTTAGCATGAATCTCATTATAGATTAGGATATACTTTCTGCACATGTGATTGCTTTTTTTGAGAGTGTGGGAGTTTGGGGTGGGGGGGTGAGTCTATCAGATCCATATGTACACACATTACCTCACCACATGTGCAAGGGCATATAGGGTAGAGCAGCCATGAATCTCCTTCAGTTCCCTCACAATTCAAAGCCCATGATATGGCAAACTTCTGTATGTGGCATAATTTTACAGTAAGCATAGGGTATTAGTTGCACCTGTAGATTATGGATAGATATCCATTTGTTGTGCTACAAAGCATCTCAGGGGGCTAGGTAAGCTATCAGGGAGCCAGCCACTCTCCCTCCTTCCCTCCCTCCCTCCCCTCTCTTTGGAGTGGGGTGATAGTAGAGGAGTATAGAATACTGAGGGTCCTAGGGAACCCTACTGTACTGTGTGTAATTCTATGGGCATTACACATGGTGCATAAGAACTTTATTTTCCAGATAGGCTGCTGTTGGAAACCACTTCATGAATGAACTTTATACAAGGTCTTGGCACCATGTTAATGCTATGGAATTTTATAGAGTGACATTCAACCAGTGCCTGAATCTCACTTATTCTTCTGATATAAGGGACAGGCAGATGTCAGGAGCATTGAGGAAGTTTCAGCTTGTGAGTGAGGAAGTATTAATTGTCCCTTTGATATACTTGGGTCTCTTCAGCAGAGAAAAGTTTAAATCAGACCACAGAGGTAGATGGCTAGTTCAGACAACAAAAAGATGGATCTTAACAGAGCTGAAGGAAAGCCCAGATAGTTTTAAGGATAGCATGTAGTTGCAGATCTAGTAAAGCCTAAACCAAGTCCAGATGATGATGAGCTGCCCATATTTTGAATTTCTTCCATGTAGATGAATAGATTCTTCTTGTCATTTCGTAACCTAGTTCTCTACCTGGTTGTTAACAGAATGACTTATATTTATAAACCCAGGTGCTATCCCCCACCTTGAAGATGTCTAAGTGCCATGTGAAGGAGTGAGAGAAAGCAAACAGAAGTCCCGAGGTGTCTTAAGCGCTGGGCAGGGGAGGTCAGGAAAAGGAAATCAGCTTACAACAACAGACGGAGAGAGCAAAAACAAGCAAAACTCACAGCATGGAGGGCTGGCAGGGCTGCAGCTGGAGACCGGAAGGGAAGAGAAACAGCCACCACATTTCTGGAGCAGCATCTCGCTCAGGATTGGCTGAGCGAGGCTGCCCAGGGGTATTTCCGGCCCCGAAGAGGGACAGAGTGGGGTCAGTTCCCTGCGCACCACAGGGAGAGAGGAATGGCTGAGCGTCCTGGCAGGAAAGGGTTGCGAAACTTGCCAGAGGAATGCTGAGCAGGAGGCAGACGGAGGCCTGCAAACACATGGCTGGAGATGAGCTCCAGAGGAGAGCCTCAGCTGAGGATCTGGGAGAGAGAACACACACGGCCTCTGATAATCTCCGGAGCAGAGTGTCAGCAGAGGATCCAGAGGAGAGGCCTAAGGAAAACTGCGGTTACAGGTAGAGCCTTGGTGCACATGGGAGAGATCCAAATGAGACTGTGACTGTTCACAGGGGAGCAGGGCAGACCTGTGCATAACAGAGACTGGACTAAGTGATTTCTTGATCCTTGCATTTGGGATTTGAGAGCCTGACCCCGGGTGAAAGGGGACATAGACTGAGCCTGACAAGGAGGCTGAGAGCAGTCGGGGTTTTCCTTGTAGGTTTTTTTGCCATTTCTTTTGATATTTTGAGCTCAGACCAAGCCCAGCCCTGGAAGGGTGTACCTAATCAAGACCAAAGGTCACCCTGGGGTAGAGGGCCAAACAATAGCACAACAGGCAGTTCTGCAACCTGGCTGCAGAAAGACTTTTGAGTACCATCTGCAGAGGCTAGGCTGGGGTAAAGGGGAGGTTTGGAGCACCACAGAAGAAACAAGGATCGAGACCTGGGAATATAATTTCATCAAAGCTGTGGCAGGCGAGAAAACATAAAACCAAATTCCTGGCAGACCAGGTAATCCAAAGCCTAGGTCCACCTTGTCACCGCCTGTAGGCAAACGAGCTCAGGACAGTGGTAGCAAGCCCTACAACACCTACAGCCACCACATGGCACTTACACAGATTTTAAGTGTCAAGTCACTAAATGTGATCTTAGCCAAAATTCCACTAAATTTTCAAAATGTCTCATGCATCTCCATTATGGCCTGAAAAGATCCCTCTGCAACTAGATCTGGCCTAGTATACATTCTAAGTGATCCAACATTGTCACCTAGATATCTATCTAATTCCATGTATGCTCTTTTGCTATCCATTTCCATGAAAATCCTCATATCCTTAATTGAAAAGACATCATGTGTCAGCATGATGTGTCAGCATCTGTTGGATGCTGACACAATTCAGAGTGCAGCTGGTGGTGATCTGACAATTTCATCTTGTATCTGTTGTTCCTCCATAACTTTAATTTGTTCAGTTTAAAAATAAACCAATTTTCTCCTTTATACCACTGCCTCTACAGATCCATAGTGGTTTTCTCACTGGCCACAAATTCATAACATTTAGCAATAACAACTGTTAAGGAAGTATTTTGAAAAATGAAAACAATAGTCAAAAAGTTTCCAAAGTCAGAAATAAAGATAATCAACTATTTAATAATAAAATAGAGGCTGTTTAGCCATAGCATAATTGAGTTACAGAGGGATGCATAGCACTAAATAAAAGAGGAAACAGGAAAGTAATAAAAACCCCTATTACAGTTAAATGGTAGTGATGAAAAGGTTATTTAAGACAAATATGCATACTTCAGCAAGTGGAAATCCAGCCCAAGTAAAACAAACAGAAAGACACATAAGCCATTGTAAGCAAAATGGAAAATGGAGTTTTAGAGGACTGAAATTGAGTCTGATGAACAAATTACCAAACAACAAATAAAATAATAATAATTCAAATATATAAGAATTAGAAAGCCAATGAAAGGACCACTGACTAGGCTAACCTACCAACGCTTGACAGGAACAATCGAGGAGCATAAGGATACTATAAAAAAGTTACGTGAGTTATTTGCATTAGCTTTTGCAGTCTAGGATTTTTAGAAAACACCTATCCGAAAGCTATTCTCATTAAAACGGGTACCATCTGAGACCGAATCGTCCAAGGAATAAATGCCGCCAAAAATTGAAAACAGCAGCAAAATCACTTTTGAAAAGGTCTCAAACCAAAGATGTTTATGTATTCTAAATTAACTGTATCTGCTTAGAAAAATACAGAAAGACCTAACCAATGCAGCTCATGAAAACTTCTGTTCACTGCACAACCGCGGTCAAAACAAAGGAACAAAAGCCACACACGTATAAACCTGACATATATGCAATAAGAAAGAAAAAAATTATAATACCTTTGAACAATGTCATTTACACATCCATAAATTTACAAACAATGGAATAAATAAATGGCAAATTCTTCATGAGCATAATTCTATTTATTTTAATACAGCTTAGCTAGCAAAGACCTTCATGACACAAATCTTGTTTTCACTCAAATTTAAAAACATTAGATACATTCCTCATTATAAAAAGACAGAAAGTAATATAGACAGTTTTCTTACCATAGCAACTATTGGACTTCTTTCTGTTGTTGACAAAAAACCAGATAATTGTTTCTGTTGTTTATGCAGTTCTTCTGTGCTCTCTTTGACCTGAACATTCCAGAGTACACAAAATGGTTAGTCTTACAAAACCTCTAATTTAGAATCTATCATTTGCTTTTGTAGTTTTAATTCACATTTAAGTTCTGTTGACATTAGAATGAATGGACTAAATTGTATTTCAACATACAAAGAGTTTCAGATCCTCCTTCTAACCAAGATCCTTATTACAATACTAAATAAATATAAATGAATTATATTAATGTAATGTTAAAACTATTATTTCAAATACTCAAAGTTTAGTAAATGAAAACATTATGATTATCACAGAAGCATCAACTTGGTGATATTGTTAATCTTTTATGATTTATAGCAAACAAGTAGCAAAATATAAAAGTAAATAACAGGAATACAGACATGTAAATTCACAATGCAAACTTCAACTTTGTAAGGCCCTGCCTTTTGAGCATTATTTTTATTAACTTCTTGTAATATTAGCAAAAAAAGGCAAAAGGTACATTAAGAACCTTTATTGACTTCAGCCATTGTTATTCTTTGTACATATGTACAATAAAAGTATGTAAAAGCTTCTGTTTGCATAATAATCTAAACACCAAAAATCAATTTATTTCAATTATTAATATATTACGTTGATAGGGCCTGACACAGGAAAAAAAAAAAAAAAAACACATAAATCTGTTCTATGCAATCTCTATTCAGGGAAACAAATGGGCACATGCATAAGTCCCAATGACTTTGAATGTCACATGTATTATTACAATAGGGTTTTAAAACTTTAAAAGTAGAATAGCTAAAGGTGAATGGGCTAATACCCCAGTTAAGGAGTAGGCACATATTTAACATTAAACACAGACTTCTGTCACTAATTTCAATAGAACTTAAACATGTGATCCAGTGCTTTCCTTACTAAGAATAATTTCCTAAATCATACCTTAAACCAACCACCTTTAGCTGCTCTGCTCACAGAAGGAAAAAGTCCTACATCACAATAAACTTATTGAACGTGTAATGTCCAGTGGCACCAGAACAATCTACTACATACACCACTTATAAATGTGACATGCATGAACGCTTATAAGTTTCACAAGAGCTACAAACAAGGCTTCCCAACTTCTAAACTGCTGAGGGCCACATGCCACACAGGCTTGTCATAGGCCCACATCATGTAGCTGACATAGGCACCAACACTGCTGCATCACACCCACATGGCCCCAGTGCCACCCTCATTTCCACATCCTACACAGAGCCCCCTGGGGCAGGCAGAGAAAGCAGAATCCACAGGGGGGACAGGGAACCCAGAGACATTGGCTGCTGTTGCA